TCAATAAAATAATAATGAAAATCGTCGTAAATTTTTTTTGACACTTAATTACAAGAAAACGGCCCGGCCGATCTCTACCAAAAACTAATCAGCATGATTCCCAACCAATATTTCTCGAACGGTTTTTAAATTTTCATAATCGATTCAACGAAAAATTTTCCACTTTTTTGCGATTTACAAACAAACGGTCGATCGTAGCGCAAAACTGACAAACGATAGTCCTCATCGAGATACATCGAATAGCTTTTAAGTTTTTGAAATCGGGCCATCCGTTTTTGAGAAAACGTCGATTTACGGCAAAAATCTGTTCACATACACATACACACACACACACATACTTTTTCCAAATTTGGTCTCATTCGATTCAGAATGGCTTGAAACGTCGAGAAAACATCAACTTAGCGAATCGGATTTTTTTATGGAAACATAAACTTCTCCTTCGCGAAGTTAATAAAAATATGAAGTTTCTACGCGGCTTTGAAATAATATCTCACCTTTTGCACAATCTCTTGTGAAAAAATGCCTTATTCTAAATTAATTTAAATTTTATCTACCCGTAGGATAAGTTATTGTAATCGTCAAAAAATCGAAATTGAAAATTTTTACATTTCTCGACGTTTTGAAGGTTTCTCAACATTTTTGCATACCTCAGAAGAAATTGATGTGTTTGTGTATGTATGAATACAATTTTTCGTCCACGTTTTCGGGTGCACGGATCAACCGATTTGAATAGTTCAAAAAACATTTGATTTCTATTGATTGGAAGATGTGCTGATTAGTTTTCGGAAAAGGCGGGTCCAACCGTTTCGGAGATACGGAGCAAAGAGTGCAGAAAATAGAAATTGAGTTTTTGAGAGAACGGAGCATCCGATTTGAATGATCTAAAAAACATTCAATTGGTAATGATTGGGGGAAGGGGTGATTAGTTTTTGGCAAAGGCAGGTCCAGCGGTTTTGGAGGTACAGAGCTAAATGTGCAAAAAAGTGCAGTTTTTGAGAGAACGAAACGATTGATTTGAATGATTCGAAGAACTTTCTGCTTGTTTTAACAAAATAATTGATTTAGGAAAAAAAAATTTTGTTTCAAATTTTTTTTTTAATTTTTTTTTCAAAAAAAATTTTTTTTTGTATATCCAAATAATTCAGATATTATTTTCAATTCTGACTAAGGTTCTGATATACTTTAAACAAATAATTTCAACTTTGCAATTTAGATTATATAATTCTTATAAATATTACACAACGTTACAATATTTATAACTATCTGTACCCATTCACGCTTTGCCTTTATTTAGTTCAAATTAAAAAGTTGAACAAAGATGTGTAATTGTTACATTTAGTTTTACGTTACTACTATCTGTTCAACAATTCACATATTCAACAATTTGTCTACTAATTTACCTATGAACCCGTTTATCAATCTACCATTTTACCGGCCTACAAATTTACCTGTCATTCCGTTCCACATGTCTACCAATTAACCTGTCAACCTGTTTATTTGTCTACAATGTAGACTATTTTAATTCGCCCATCTATTAGTTTTCTTCTCTACCATTTTACCTGTCCACCAGTTTACCTTTACAAATTCTCTAATTCACCTAATTTATTTACGCATTATAAAACAATTAAAGCTCAAATTGATTCTACGTTTTAGTTAGAAAACGTTTGTATGTGGAAAAGAAAGGGGCTGTTTTTAGGCTTTTCCCGGCAATTATTCGATTTTTTCTTGTCGTAAGAGCCATCCTGGGACTTCAACGAATATTTAAAAAAAAGAATTGGTCAAATTGGTCCAGGCGTTGTTGAGTTATGCGCTAATCAACACATTTTGCTATTCATTTTTATATTATAGATAATCTATTTGAAAACATTTAATATTCCTCGATCATTTCGTTACGGTACGGGAAGTTCTAGCAATTTGCCTTAAGGCACGATGCCATACACCCCACTAGTATATTTACTATTTTCCTACTATTGACACCACAGCCATTATAAAGATGTGGTTAATTCATTTTACCCCATTCACATGTAAGCTTTCAAAGAGATTATAAAAGAAAGGGTTGGACCCAACTTGAAAATTTGTCTACTTTCAAATATTGTTGTTAAAAAATTTCTAACTTTACTTGTTTTTGAAATATTGGCAGTGGATCTTTTTACCCGCGAACTTTTAAGCCCAGCCCTCCCCTAATTTTTTTTCGACTATATATATTCATTTTTCGCCAGAAACAAAATTATAAAATATTTTTCAATCAAAAAACAATAAGATTGTCATTCGAAAGTAACTAATGATTCGCGCTCGAAAATATTTAATATCTTTCGATGTAACAAAGTCTCCAACAAATAGTAAAATATTTTTGTTGCAGAGAAAGAAAGAAAAAATTGTTTTTTTTTCAAATCGATTCAATTTGGGTAAAGGTATGTAAAACCTTTGTAAATATTTAAGGGTTGTTATTGTTATGAAAATTGCAAAAACATTTTTTTTGAAAATTATCACAAAGTTCACTTCAGTTATATAAACAGAAATATATAATGTTTATAGAATTAAAAAAAATTGACAGTTGTAAACTAAAAAAAAAGTGAAATGTCATTTGTCAATATCTATGGAAAGTATTAGATGAATGAATCTATAATTTATATTTATTTGGTTTGCTTATCATATTAGTTTTCGTCTTCAAAACATAATAGATCAGAATGAAAAAGCGACATATTAAATTTAACTTTAATCATAAACAAAATTTTGACAGGTCAAAAGAATTAATATTTTTAACTAATTCAAACAGGAACAATGATTGATTGTGATGTGATTACAAATCACATTTTAGATACAGAATAATAAAATTTATCAAATTTAAATAAATTTGGGCGGTTATGATTTTAAAACAAATGCGAAAATGACGTTTGTTAATGTTCCGGAAAATGTATGAATAAATTGATTCATGATTAAGATTTAGTTTGCTTAAGATGTTTATTTAGGTAAACATCACACAATTATTATAAATCATGATTGAAAACTAAATATTATATCATATTATATTAAATTTCGACCGAAAAGAAAATATTTTGACAGTTATAATTAATTTCAAATAAAATGCAAATGTCAAAAATCAGATCTTTGTGTAAAAAAATATTTATTTCCACAATATTCCTGTGCTGATTTACCTAAAAATTTTAATTTAACAATTATATAATTTATTCATTGATAACTTAAAATAATTATTAATTTATTAAAAAATAAATAATATTTAGATATAAGGTCATTTAATTAGAGGTATTTCTTAGTTGAAACATAAAAGAAAATTTTATTGACATATTTGACATGATAAAATTATAATAAACAAAACACTATGATGCGAGTGAATTAATTTTTGAAGTATGAAATGTGAAATAATTTTGAAAATTATAACAAGTTTTTAACTATTTGTCAGAAAGAATATTTTTTATTACAAATTCATACCCATGTCAAGACCAAAGTAATAAATAATATTTATAAAATGATATATTATTTATAGACAATATGCATAATAAAGCTCGGTCATCAGTAGGAAGTTGATCCGAGCTAAGTGATACATTAAGACGATACTTTTTACAGTGAAGTGTCATCAGATTTTTGTGAAATAAGTTTTAAGTCCGGAATTGATTTTAAATCTTCCTTTTTTAAAAGCACCGGATCTAATACTTACAAGGTAACATATATCTTGTTCGGTGTTCTAAATTTCAAAGGTGGACGTGACTTCTGCTGACTCCTCTTTTGAAACATCGGATTCGTGTTGGTAATGGTTAGAGGATAAGCAATATTAGAAAGTTACTTTTTTTCTAAATTTAAATTTTTCTAAGTCTTTAGATTAACTTTCTTAAAATCAGTGCAGAGTGTATTGAAGGATCCAAAGATATTCCCAGGCAGGGGCCTGGGAAAAAATTAAAAATAATGATAACGTAGAAAATGGAAGTATTAACGAACGAGACCTTCAAAAATAAATACAATGCGCTATCTGATCGGACTGATATGGACACGGACAGGGAGATTAAAGATTATATGAAGGTGACACGCCGCAAGAGGGCAAAGATGAACAAAGTGCCCGAAAAAGCTACTGTCAAACCGCAACCATCCACCTCAGGCATACAGACAGTACCACCTAAGACAGCACCGCTGAAGAAAACCCAGTTGAGCGAGGAAAAATTACCTCCCATTTCATAAAGGCAGAACTGAAATTAAAGATTATTCGGTACATTCGTGTACAAAGTACACGAAAAATAAATTTTCGATATCAGTTTATGAAAACGAATTTGCATAAAATCACAGATTCAATTTCAGACCATAAAGACATCAAAAACATTCTGCGCGAATGTCACTACCCTTTTTATACTTACTTCATGCAGCAAAACTCATGTAAAAAAATCACAATAAGTGGACTGCAAGAGATCTGCAAAGACTTGCAGCTGAAAGGAGCCAAAGTTAAACAAGTGCTACAAATAAAAAGAAAACAACCAGACGGTGGTCAACATAAGCTGGCCATATACATAGTGGTAGTGGATAAAAATCAGGACATGTCGGAGCTAAAACACATCACCAATATTGGGGAAAATATCTTCTCCTGGGAGGCCTATAGGACACAGAAAAGAGAACTGCAGTGCCACAAATGTTTAAACTTCGGTCACACATCGTACACCTACTAAAAGTACAGGTGTATAAAGTGCCTCAAAGTGCACGCGCCAGGAGCGTGCCAGAAACTACCACATGAGGCACCGATGTGTGTCAATTGCAAGAGCGAACACCCCGCAAATTACTCCAAATGCAGCGCTCTTATTAACTACAAGGAAAAGAAGGAAAGCGACGCTCTTAGGAGAAGACAAGCGTATAGGCCAGCACCAACACCAGTGCCGCTGACGAGGAGCTTCTCGCCAGCTGTAAGCTTTACCAGCAATGGTCCCAACGTCAGAACTGAGTATCCTCAACTCCCTATCTTATTGTCACCATACAAAGCAATGATCCGGTCTTCACAAACAACTGCTATGGGCGAGATCAGGATGCTGTTTGCTGATCCCCAGGTAAAACAAATTTTCAGTGAGCTTTACAAACTGACAAAATCACTAAACACGTACATGACATATAATGAGAAATACACAACAATACTTAACTTTTTAACAGCATCTCCATAAATCAAACGCGCGACTTACGCATAATGCACATTAACTCTAACGGACTTTAAAACAACGTAGACGAATTGAGACAAACGATAACAAATTATGACCTAAACATTGTACTGATTAACAAGCACACTTAAAACCTACGGACAGACCCTATATCAACAATTACAAAGTTTACAGGAACGACAGACAGACGGACGCAAGCGGATGGGGCGGCACTGCGATTTTCATCAAGTCTAACATCAGACACGAGCAAGTGCCAAACCTGACAGCGGGCGGGTCTGAAATAACTGCTATCAATGTATACAATAGAGATCAAAAAGTAACTATAATATCGATTTACATCCCGGCAAGCGGACTGCAACAAACGGACTTACAAACACTACTGGACTCGAACAGATTTGTTCTCATGGCGGAGACTTTAACGTACAACACACATCTTGGAACTGTAACTTTAACAACGCGAACGGAAACAGTCTTTACGAATACCTGACCGAACACAACACCACAGACGCACAACTACACTATCCTGACACGCCGACCAGATACGCCACCGTACAGATACACAATTACAGCACGATCGATTTGGCATTTAATTGACACCTACACCTACACGTAACATCCGAACTACTACAAAGATACCGACACACATAGACAAGCTAACCGAATATACTGACAAATGGCAAATTAGGATCAATCCGCAAAAGACGGAAGGAATTCTATTTACAAAGAGCCAAAATGTCACGGCTAGACTGACTGACTTGGACAAAATAAAAGTATTGGACTGTGAAGTTGAGTGGTCCAAGGATGTCAAATACCTTGGTGTGACCCTGGACCATAGACTCAGTTTCACGAAACATATTGTATTAATACGAAAATTGGACAGGCTTACGGGATGTTAAATCTACTGAGACCTCTCTTGAACCACAACAGCCCGTTAAGCGAGAAGAACAAGCAGGCACTATACTTGACACTAATAAGACCGTTACTGACATACGCCGTTTCATCATGGAACGCGACGACTAAGACCAACTTACGGAAACTACAGACATTACAAAATAAGACACTACGACTAGTACTTAACAAAATAAGGAACCCACTGACTACAAATCACTACTCTACAAAATATATACATAAATAGACTGACGTACCGACAACACTCGACTATATAAAAAAGCTCACCTCAAATTTTTATCAAAAATGTGGGGATCATACTAATACCAACATCGCGGGTCTCGGCCAATATACTACAGACGTAGTTTGGTATGGCAATCACGCCATGCCAAACTATATACTGATCGACCCATAGCGGCAAATGATACTCGGCTCGACACAGATTTTCCTTCAGAGCGAATAAATCAATTGTTCTGTTTTTGTTTTATAATTATAACATTGCTATGTGTTTTTTTTAGAGGAAAATTTTTCTTTCTTTTTTTGTTATACATTTATGAACTTATTTTTATATTAATTCAGAATTAATTATTGTTCGCAAAATCATATCCAATGATGGATACTGGATATAAATGTAATGTACATACCTATATTTATTGAAATATATATGTTTTTGAATTTTGACTTTAACTTGGCAATATGCATATTATAATTATAGTTCATATTTTTTGACAGTTGCTAATTCAAAATAAATTGAAAAGAATTGAAAACAATGTAATAAATCTGATATTTATGGAAAAATATCAAATAAATATATTTATGTTTGATTGACTTGATTTCAAATAAGAAATATAAAATAACGAATTGCTATGCCAAAATAGACAGTATATACATCTAAAATTATAGTATAAATATTACAATTTTGATAAATAATTATCCATTATTTTACAGTACGAAAATTGATAAAAAATTAATAAAAGTGCCAAAAATCTAACATTAAGATTTGGACTCGGATTCTCTAGAACTTTATCCATGTTATTTTCAGGGATAGTATGAATATAAATTTTTAGTCGGAAATTTATATAATAAGTGATTCGCAAGTAATCACAAATTTTAAAAAAATGCATTGAAATCGGTTAGTGTCTAATCATAAATTTATGAAAAATTTTCAAAGAAAATATTAAGGGCTTATAGCAAATTTTCAATAGTATGTGACCAATGAAGTCATTTCCAAATACAGCATCATATAACATGTTAAAATGTTAGCAAGGTAAATAGGACGTCATACCAAATAGGATATAACAAATTTATAAAAGACACTTGGTTATTCATTATAAATTTTGTAATGTACTCATTTATTCTAATCTTTAATTATTTAATTTTATTTATTATTTAAGTTTAAAAAACACTTTAATCAATAGTATTGATTCATTATATTCAAATTTCAATCCGGATTTTATTTATTTTTGGATTGAATTCGAATTTTTTATAACAAAAGGTTTGAAATGTTGGTTGTGAAACGGATTCAAACTTCAATCTAAAAATCCATACTAGCATTGGTATGGATGTCGACTTAGCCGAGTCTTGTATGCGGAGCAGAAATGGTTAATTTCTTCTTCCACGATCAAAATTCTGAGGTATTGATGTATATGCCAGTTTGGTACATATTTTTGGGGTGTTTATAATTTGTTTCAAAATCTTGTTTTGGAACCCCTGTAGAATTGTCATGTTCATTTACTAGCTCCACGCCATAGTTGTAGACCGTAGAACCATATTGTTTAAATATTCTCTTGTATACTAGGAGTTTATTTTCTAATGAAACTTGTGATTTCCTGCCCATTAACAAATTAAATTGCTTTCGTGTCAATTCGAGCTACTGGTGCTTTTTTAATTTTATGTTCATGCCAGGCTAGTCTTCTATCCAAATGTTTTCCCAAATATTTAACTACATTGAATACAGAATACAATTACCACTCAATATAATAGGAGAGTAGGGTAAAATAGCATAAACGAATTTATATCTGTTTACTGTTAATCTCCATAATTTCTTCAACTTTTCTATTTCATCTACGTGTTTTTGTAGAATTTCGGAGGCAAGCAATTGGTTGTTATCTTGTGATGTTGAGCTAGAATTCCCGTATCATCTGCAAATATGGTTTCTGCATTTGTAGGTATATTGGCGATATGAAGAGTAAATTTTTTAAATTGTAAGACTTCATAAATAAAATCAACGGCTCTATGAATTTGTTCAATCGTAGAGTGTTTTCTTATGAACCCAAATTGATGTTTTGGCAGAAATTATTTTTTTCTAAATTATTAATAATTCTTTTGTGAATAACTTTTGCAGAAATAGAATAGAAATTTTAAAAATAGAATATTTATGAATAGAATTTTAGAAGACTAGTGAACCGGTAGACAACTGTATCATCAGGACTTTTTCCAGGCTTAAGAATTTAGATTATTTTAGCCAATTTCCAGGATTATGGAAAATACTTCGACCGTATTATAACGTTAAATAATATAGTTATAAATCTCTCACCTTTATAAGGAAGATGTTTTGAGAGTCCAAATGTGATGGCATCATTACCAGGATCTTCCTAATTTAGTGTTACTAATCTCGTAGAACACTTCAGAGCTCTTAATGTTTAAATCACGATTAAAACTGAATCATTGTATCATAGTATATCTATGCATAGTATATTAAATTCGATCGGAAAAAATATTTTGACAGTTATTAGTCTAGTGCATATTGTATATATTGAATAGACGTTCATCATTTGGAATAAAAAGTGTAAGAAATCAGATATTTATGTAAATAATCATTTATTTCGACAATGGTCCAGAGTTGATTTTGCCAAAAATATAAATTTAACAACTATATAATTTATTTATTAAATGACTTAAAATAGTTATTAATTTATTAAAAAATAAATAATTTTGGAAACCAAATTATCATATTATATTAAATTTCAGAGTGAAAGGAAATATTTTGCATTGATTCGTAGGTGAAGGATCTAGAATGGTGTGTGTATGTGTGTGTGTGTGCGCGCATACAAAATTTCGTCGACGATTTTGGGAACACTGCTCAACCGACTTGAATACTTCAAAACCATTCGATTTGTATTGATAAGGAAACGTGCTGATTAGTTTTCGGCGAAGTCAGGTCGAGCCGTTTCGATGATACGAGAAAAAAATTGCCAAAAATGATAATAGATTTTTTAAAAGAACGGAGCGTCTGATTTGTATGATTCAAAAAATATTTTATTTGTATTGACTAAATAAAGAACTGATGAAATTATTGGGATGGCAGGTCTAGCGGATTTTGGTGGACAAAAATGATCATTAGGCATATGCACATCAAATTATCATATTTTTTATAGATATTTTATCTATAAGAACAAATTTGGTTTACGTTTATATGTTTCAATGCTTACCGGTTATACTGCGACGCGGCGCCCACGCGCTTTGATATGAAAAAATGTTCAGAAACCTTTGAAACGTAACTATAACTTACCATATAGTAAGTTATAGTAATAAAAAATTGATATTGAAATTTTTTTTATTTTAAAAAAAGAAAAATCTGAAAACTTTGGTATACTTCAGAAAAAATCGATGTGCGTGTGGGTGTTCTGTGTGTCTGAAATTTTTGGTCCACGCTTTTGAGCGCACGAATCAAGCGACATGCTTATGCTTATGGCTATGCTTAAGCTTATGCTTATGCTTATGTTTATGTTTATGCTTATGCTTATGCTTATGCTTATGCTTATGCTTATGCTTATGCTTATCGTTATGCTTACGCTTATGCTTACGCTTATGCTTATGCTTATGTTTATCCTTATCTCGAATATTTAATTTTAGTACGGAAAGTTTCAGCAAAACACGTCAGCATTCTCTGCTTAATGTATTAATATACACAGATTGCAGAATAAAATTGAAATAAAAAAATAATAATGCTGCGTAGCAGTTTTACAGACGTTATATAAAATCGCGTAAATGCTGCATTGCAGACT